ATTACTAAGATGAATTTACTAATAGGTTTCCCTCTACCTCATGTATTTCTTACTTTTTTTTGTTGAATCATCAAAACTCTACAAAACATGAATAATCTTTGCTATCTTATTACTTTAGAACAAACTGACTGGTCATCGGCCATCATAAAATTCTGACACTAGCAAAACGTTAAGCAAAAATATCACAGTTCATATAATTATTTATTTATCAATCAAAGAGAAAAAGTGTTTTTGAATTTAGAAAGTGGTTTATTTTGTCTATATAATTTTTTTTCAATCAGAATGCATTTAATTGCGATAATTTAATTATAGATCTAGTAGTTAATGCAATTAAAAATGTTAATCATGTCCAATATTAAAAGTAAAAACGTTTTAATCACAAATAACTATTTGTCCTTCATTGAAAGATAAAATATGTATTTATAATTCTCAAACCATTTAATGGCTTTTTTTATCATTCAGAGTCATGAGAATTTCAAAAACGTAATACGAAAAAATGGACAAGGCAATCTAAATTAGGTACAGTTTAAGTAATTGATTAAATTTTTGAACTTATTACACAAAGTAAGTTGTCCTTCACCAATAAACCAACATTGTGATGGCAACTCAAGGTAAAACGTACTACTGTAATACAGCACCTGAAAACATAAAGCACTTGAGTTTTTATAACTTAGAAATGTAAATGTTAGACATTTACATTTCTAAGTATTTAAGAATCAATTTAAAGTGCTGTAACTGAGAATTATGAAAAGCAGAAATGTAAATTAAAACAACAAACCAAATTATAATTTTTGCTCAACTTAAAATGCATGCAATGTGAAAATATGAGGCTTTAATAAACATTTAATGTCTCCATTGACTGACTGTATGAGTAGAACTGTTCCCCACTGAGAACAGCTGATGCTTATTATTGTTATCAGTTTTAAACTTAGTTGAATCATAGATCCTGTTTAGTAAGGCTCAAATTAATGGTATGTGTTATAAAATAAGAAACTGTAGTGGGAAAAAAAATCCATCTCCCATTTATTCCTTTTATATATATATATATATATATATATATATATATATATATATATATATATATATATATATTTATTTATTTATAACTTGTATCTGGATAAACTGTCACACAAGTTGAGAGCTTGTCACACTGGTTGTATGGCTGGTGACTCTGTACTTAATCACTTGATGTATGCAGATGATTTAGTAATATTTAGCCCTAGTACTGCTGGGTTACAGCCACTGCTTAACATCTGTTCTGAGTATGGTCTGGAACACGACATAAAGTACAATCCATCTAAAAGTGTGATTATGATCTGTAGGAGTAAGGAAGATAAATCTACTGAGTTTTCCAGATTTTCTGCTGTCAAATACTGTGCTGGGTGTTACAAACAAAACCAAGTATCTTGGGCACATCATCACAGAAAATCTGTCAGACGATGATGATATCTGTAGACAATGTAGATTGTTGTATGCTCAAGCTAAAACCCTTGCTCATAAATTCGGTGTATGTACTGATACAGTCAAAGTTGAACTGTTAAATGCATGCTGTACCTCTCTGTACACTGCTCACCTGTGGACTACATATAGAAAAGTCAACCTGCAAAGGCTGCAGGTGGTCTGTAATGATGCTATGCTGGTACTTTTGAAATGGCCAGGATGGTCCAGTGCTAGTGAGATGTTTGTCACAGCAAGAGTCAATACCCCACAAGCTGTTTTACGAAAGTTAATGTAGAAGTTTATTTGTAGGTTAAATGCATCTGCAAACGATATTATCTTGTCTATTACTGATACCACACGTAGTGCAATCCGATATCAGTCTAAACGGTGGAGACACTGGTATTCCTGTATTCTTAAAGTTCCTATTTAGTCGATAATGGTACTTGTATTGTGGTTTTTATCATTAACTATTTTTATCTTATTTTATGTATGTATTTATTGGACCATCAGTCTGGAATAAAGTTTTTATCTATCTATCTATCTATCTATCTATCTATCTATCTATCTATCTATCTATCTATCTATCTATCTATCT